AAAAAAAAAAAAAAAAAAAACCAACAACAATAAAATAATAAAAGAAAAAAATGTTATAATAACATAAGGCTTTTCATGACAGTGAGACATGTCTGCTCTTGACAGCACCAATCTACTTAAAAAAAAAAGGGGGTGATGGGCATTGAAGAGCCTCCATATAGTTTGCTTTCTTTATGGAAAAAGCTAGTCATTTGGGCAAGAATCTGCCCTTGCCTTAACTGCTGACAATATGCTGTCTAAACTGGACAACAGGACATGAAAGAAAGTGATTGCCAAACTTTGTCAAGAGACAAGGTAGGAACCTAAGACAGAGCGCCTGTGTGACCTGGGCAGGTGTCTCCATGACAGGTAAGGTGACCTGCTGATGTCCCAAGCAACCCAAATCAGAAGCTCATCTTTTAGTAAAAGGGGGACCTGTAGGGCCCTGGCCCCCATTTTGGGTAACTGTTGCCTTGCTTGCTGACCTTGACCTTGATATCCTCCCTATGCTAATTCCCTGCCAGGTTCCACCCTTCTGAATGCTTAAAAGAAGTTCCTTGTCTGTGTATCCTGCATAATGGGCATTAACAGCTTAGATGCAAGATTGTAAAACATGGTAGTGAACTTCTGCCCTCTGGGGTCCTCCCATTGTGCCTGTATTTAAGACCTCTTCTCTCCTTCAATAAACAGCATTCAGCATTTAAAAAAAAAACAAGAGACAAGGTAGGACAGTCCTTCAAAATTCCTGCTTCACAGAAAAGTCTGTTGCTGTGGGATGTCCTGTATATTGTGAATAAATGAAACGCTGATTGGCCAGCAGCAGGAAGTATAGGATTGGCTGGACCAACAGAGAGGAGAGGCTGGGAGATGGAAGTCTGGAGGAGACGCCAGCCTGTCGTCCAGGGACAGCATGTAAAGGCAGCAGGTAAAGCCACGGAACACGTGGCAACATTTAGATTAACAAAAATGGGCTGAGTATAAGAGTAAGAGCTAGACAATGGTAGGCCTGAGCTAATGGCTGAGCAGTTTAAATAATATAAGTGTTTGTATGTTTATTTTATAAGTGGGCTACAGGACTGCCAGGGCTTGGCAGGACCCGGAGGAAAAAAAAAACTCTAGCTACAGTCTGTCAGACGTTCTAGGTTTGTAGGTTGAGGGTGGATGCCCAAACATTACAAAGAAACCTGGGGTGACTATCCAGGCAGCCAGATGTCCCTGTCATTTCTCATAGTTTTAGAAGTTGTTTGCTCTGCATTTTCTGTTTACTCAGGTAATATTTATCCTTCTCAGATCTTTGATGGGGTTGAAGACTAGATAGTTATGGTTACAGTTTCCTTTAGTCATGATAGAAAGTAAGTTAGTGGGTGGTGGTGGTGCGCACCTTTAATCCCAGCACTTGGGAGGCAGAGGCAGGTGGATCTCTGTGAGTTTGAGGCCAGCCTGGATTACAGAGTGAGTTCCAGGAAAGGCACAAAGCTACACAGAGAAACCCTGTCTCGAAAAACCAAAAAAATAAAAAAGTAAGTTAGGTACAAAACTTTGGACTCATCAAGAGAGGATAGATAATGGAGTATTTTCTCTGAATTCACCAAATACAAATGGACTGGACATTGTGAATGTAATTCTTTCTGATAATTGTTCCTATTGTTTATAGTTTATTATGTTAGAGTGAAAACCTTTCCTTTTTATTTAGATAAAAAGGGGGAAATGTTGCAAACCATTCCTTTACACTGTGTGAAAATGTGTCACTGTGAATGGTTTAATAAAGAGCTGAATGACCAATAGTTAGGCAGGAAGAGATTAGGTGGGACTTCTGGGTACAGAGAAGTCTTGGGGAAGAAGCATGTGGAGTCGCCAGCCAGACACAGAAGAAGCATGACATGCAGGAAGAGAGGTAAAAACTACAAGCCATGTTACAGCACATAGATTAATAGAAATGGGTTAATTTAAGTTATAAGAGCTAGTTAGAAACAAGCCTGAGCTAAGGCCGAGCTTTGATAATGAATAAGAAGCCTCTGTGTCTTTATTTGGGGGCTGGTGGTACAGAGAAAGCATGCTACATGTGTGGAAATAGACTGGAGACAACTAGGGTTGACCTTGGAAATCTAGCAAGAAGAACTGACTCAAGCCAGACATGATGGCTCACAACTGTAATGCCAAGCAATTGGAAGGGTGAGGCAGGAGGATTGCCATGAATTTGAGGCCATCCTGGACCACAGAGTGAGATGTATCCAAACAAATAGAAACTGATCCTGACCAGAAGTGGAGAGACAGATTTGAGTGCTAAGTTCGGAAACAGAATCATTCAACTTAGTGTTTTGAGGAATGAGTAAAGTGAGGCTACCTGCCTAGGCTAGACCAATAGATAGCCAATGGAGAGTCAGTCACAAGGTTGCTAACAACACAACGTTAGGCATTCATATGTAGTAATACATATAATGCTTGTAATAATTTTATTTATTATTTTGTGTGTACGAGTGTTTGCCTGCATGTATGTGCACTACATGCATGCAGTACCCACAGAGGCCAGAAGAGAGCATCAGATCCCCTGGGACTGGATTACAGACAGTTATGAGCTGATATGTGGGTGCTGGAACTCAAACCTGGATGCTCTGGAAGAGCAGCTGGTGCTCTTACCCACTGAGCCATTTGCAGGCCTTATTATGACTTCGAATGGCAATGGCTTTTTATTGGTACCATGTAAAACACCGTGGATGCCTTCTTTAATAGCACACATGACAAAAAATGAAGCCATCTAGAGCCTCAGCTGCCTAAGCGTCTTTGTCTCCCCAGCCCCACTCTCCCATATTCTCACACTCACCCACTCCTCCCAGCGGGCTATTCTCTCCGCCATCTCGACGGCTTCTTTGTGTTCACGCTCTGCTGTCTCAGCAGCCTCCTTGGCCAGGCGTTCCTCCGCAGCCTTCTTCTCTACTTCCGCCTTTTCTTCATCTGTTAGGCCATAATTCCGAGGCTCCCCAATCTCTTTGATGAGCTGTTTGATAGCAAGTCTGTTCTGGGCATCTTCGAGTTTTCCTACATCTTTAAATGCCAGAAGAGGGGAGATCTACGCATAGAGTCCAGATATGTCTGTCATCATTAGAAAAGACATTCTACGTGTGTGTATGAGAAATGGTCACATCAAAGCTTCATTTTCCAGTTGGCAAGTGAGGTTCAGAGTTTCATTTCTCAGGGGCAATTACAATGTCTCAGAGTCAGGGGTGGGAGGATTTGGCCTTGGCTCTTACAGTTCTTTTTCAGTTTGCAACAAGGTCTCACTAACGGCCTTAAATAAACTGGAATTCACTATGTAGATGGTTACTGGGCCTCTGCCCTGCATGCTGGAATTACAAACAAATGACACTTATGCCCTTTCTAAGTTCTAGAAGTCATCATCGATCTGAGCAGATGGATGAGGGAATGGACTATACTATAGCCTGAATTTGTTTTCATTTTTGTCTGTGTACATGGTATGTGTGTATGTATGCATGGTATGTGTATATGTGTACATGGTATGTGTGTATGTATGCATGGTATGTGTATATGTATGCATGGTATGTGTGTATGTGTGCATGTTCCATGTGTGGCAGTACCCATATGCTGTAGGTGCACAGATACATGTGTGCACATGTAGGTGGATGCCTGAGGTTGACCTCAGGAGTCTTCCTTAATTGCTCTCCACCTTACTGATCAAGGCGTGGTCTCTTGATTTCACCCAGAGCCCACTGATAAGGTCTAGTTTAGCTAGCCTTCTTGCTTAGGTAACCTCCCTTCCACAGCTGGAATTACAGGTGGGTCACCTAACTTAGCACAAATGTCCACATGTGGAGGTAACAAGCCCTAAGCTTTCACATGTGAAATGTGCGTGATGTGCAAAAAGACATGTAAATGGAGGCAAACCCCAATCACTACCCAGAGTGGAAAACAGGAAGACAGGATGGGTAGACTGTCTCCTCAAACTGTGAGGCAAAACAAACCCTTCCTTTCTCACTCCTCAATCCCAGGAGACATGTCAAGAGCCAGAAAGCCAGGGGGGAACTCAGGGGTTCACAAGGTCAAGGGGCACCAGATTGCCATGAACTCTAGGACCTGGAGCTCCACATGAGGAAGAAGAGGAGGTTAAGGCGGGTTGCTTCCTATGTGCTGCCTGGGTGCTAAGTTCTGAGGGGTAGTTCTGGGGTGAGTTGACCAAACTTTAAGGCCAGGAGAAGTCTATGTTGAGCACCAGTGCTCAGCAATGAACCAGGGCCAATGAACCCTGCCCAAGGAACCCGGGGGAATGCTCAAATCAGCCAGAAGTGAACGCACACTTCTTTGTAGGAATAGACCAGTTTGATATTCAATCCTGTAACCGACTCATCTATTTCTGTATAATATTAACATCCCAACACCCTACCCCCAGGTAAAATGGCTGTCCTGGAGGAATACTGTGGCTTCCTGAGCTGTCAGTCACATTTTATACCCGGGGGTCCTCCCTCAGCGCTACAATCCCAGGCCCTTGTGCATCAGGGTTTGCTGGGATCTTGGAGGTCACTTCATACCAATGTGTATTGGGTGGATTTCAATTTCATCAAAGTAGTTGAAGACCGTCTCATCATCGGTGTTGATGTCCCGGTAGTTGCTCAGAGACCGGAGGAATCGGTCCTGGCTGTAGTGCGTTCCTGCCACGACACTCTCTGGGAGGTTCATGACCCGCTCCTTCAGAAAGTCGTCAGAGGCATCCAGACCACACACAAACTCTGGGGAGAGGGAGAAGGTCTGGGATCAGCAAGGCACAGTAGGGGTGGATGGCCACAGCTAACCAACATGTCTGGTCGGCTTTCTTTTCTGGAGGAAAAATGCACACAGACCTCCCAATTCCAGAGACTAGAAACCCAGTTGGGAGTTTGCAGCATCTACCTTCTTTTCTCCCCCTCCCTCCTTTCCTCTAGCCTCTCTTCCTATAAAAGCAGCAGATACTGTTAAGTAGAAAATCTCTACTAACCCAGTGACAGTCACATCTCTAGGCCCCTGGATCTGGCACGTTGTGGTAATGACTTCCCCACAGGATACAGGAGGTGCAGTAAGATTTTGTTGTTGTTGTTCTAGACTTTTGTTTTTCTTTTTTGTTGTTTTCAAGATTTATTTTTGATTTTTAGTTGTGTGTGTACGAGTGTATATGTATGCCGTGTGTGTGTGTGGTAATCAAAGAGACCAGATCACTGGATCCGCTACAGCCAGAGTGAGCAACCCGAAGTGGGTGCTAGGAACCAAACTAGGGTCCACTGAAAGAGCAGCAAGAGTTCTGCCGCTGTGATGTACACCGTAGCCGAGGCAACTTCCAGAAGGAAGGGTTTATTTGGGCTTGTGGTTCCAGAGGGGTAAGAGTCCATCCCTGCCCCGGGGAAGTGGTGAGCATGGCCACTGAAGCAGCCAGCCGAGAGCTCCCATCCTGAACTGCAAGCAGGAAGCAGAGAGAGAACAAACTGGGAAGACAAGAGTCTTTAAAAATCTTTATTATTATTATTACTATTACTATTATAATTATTGATGGGTAAATGGTGCTGGCAGAAAAGTCACGGGCCACGGCCACAACTATCAGAGTTATAGAGAGCTTTATTAGAAAGGAGAGGGCATAGGAGGGAGGAGCCAGGCCTGGTGGGGGAGGGAAGCAGGGAGCAGAGCAGAGAGCAAAGAGGAAACAGAACAGAAAAGGAGGGGATTGCATGACCATGCCGTGGGTATGCGGTTGCCTTGCCCTGATGATGTAAGATGCCAGAACCGGAAAGAGTGAGGGCAGGATCCTAACAATTATGATGATTATGATCTCCTATTTTACATCCCAACTACAATTTCCCCTACCATCCCTCCTGCCAGTCTCTCTCCCCCATCTCCCCCTCTCCCAGACTTTTCAAGCCAGACTCCAGTCCCACACTACCTCTAAATAAGCCACACCTCCCCAAATCGTGCCATCAACTTGGAACCAAGTGTTCAAATGCATGAGTCTATGTGGGGCGTTCTCATTCAGACGGCCACCATTCTTAACTGCTGAGCCACCCCTCCAGGGAGGTCTTATCATGCTCAGTGCTTGACACATTTTCAGCTGAATTGTATCCAGTTGTCTCGGTGACAGCATGGGCTCTACACGGAATTTGCAAAATGAACTCCTTAGAAGCGTTTCCCAATCCTAAACCAGGCAGCCCTGGTGGTTTTGGGGTTTTGGTTTGTTTGTTTGTTTTATTTTTTTTTTAAAGGCAATTAACTTCATTCATTCTTTTATTTTTAATTTTTATTTTATGTACACTGTTTTTCCTGCATGTATCCCAGATCTTGGAATTAGAGACAGCTGTGAGCTGCCACATGGGTGCTGGGAACTGAACCTGGGTCCTCTATTGGAGCCTGTCAGTGCTCTTAACCACTGAGCCATCTCTCCAGCTCCATTCTTCCTTTTTCTTAAGTGTATGTCTACATGAAGGAGATATTTCAGGAAACCCATCTTTTAGGCATTTCCTGTTCCTGCCACTCGTTTCAGAGCCCACAACACTCATCCCTGAGCAAGAGAAGACTCCGCAGTTAGGAATGCTTGTTGGGCCTGGTGTAGTGGCACACACCTTTAATCCCAGTGCTAGGGAGGCAGAGGTAGGTGGATCTCTGTGAGTTCAAGGTTAGTCTGGGCTACCTTTCAAGTTACATGACAAACAGGACTACATGTCATAGAGAGACCTTGTCTCACAAAGCAAGGTAGATAGCACCTGAAAAATGACACCCAAAGGTGACCTCTACTCCCTCGGGCATGGGTGTACATGTACATGCCTGCTCGTACCCAAAGCTCCATGGTTGTCCTCCCTCCCCCTCCCTCCCTCCCTCCCTCCCTCCAGCCCTCTCTCTCTCTCTCTCTCTCTCTCTCTCTCTCTCTCTCTCTCTCACACACACACACACACACACACACACACACACACACACACACTCTTAAATGTGACCTTGAAGAAATATTTTCAACTCACCAGGTGTAGTCAATCTATCAAAGGGAAACATTTTGCCTCTGATTTCTTCTTCTTCCTCTTCATCTTCCTCTAGTAAAACAAAAATATGTATAGTTACACATTTTAACATATTACTAGGGTCACAGTAAAAGTCCAAATATTATTTTTTTTAATTAGAAAAACATTTTTTGGCCTTTTGAGACAAAGTTCACTTTGTAGCGCAGGCTGGACTTGAGTTGGCAGCAATTCTCCTGCCTCTGCCTCTCATGATGTAGCCCAGGCTAGCCTTAAACTTGCAAGCTTCCTGTTTCTTCCTCCCGAGCATTGAGATCACAGGCATATATACATGCAGACCTGGCTTCAGATGTCAGATAATGTGTACATGTTGATATGTGTGTATACATGTGTGCTGCTGTGTGTAAATGTATGTGGAAGCGGGGACGGGGTGTTTCATGGAATGCAGGACTCACTGACTGGGCTAGACTGGCTGGCCGTCAGGCTCCAGGGGCCTGTATACCCCCGGTGGTAGGGTTATAGGCACAGGCCAGCACGCCCAGCTGGGTGTTGGGCATTAACCCTAGGTCCTCATGGTTATGTGACGTGGCAGGCACTTTAGGATGACGTGCTCTCCGCTAGCTTACCATCCGGGCTAGCGTGCAGAGAATCTAGCTCATACCAAAAGACAAGCCAGTGAAAGGGTGCAGCGTTAAGAGGGTATAGCTTCTGCTCAGTGTTTATGCTACAGTAAAACAAAATACAAAAGGTCCCAGGACGGCTCCACATCCCAGATTCCATCCCCGGAACTTGCAGGGTAGAGGGAGAAAACCTTCTCCTGAAGGTTGTTCTCTGACCTCACATGCATGCCACGGCACAATCACCTCAAAATCTGACTCCACAGTAAATAAATGCAATAAATTAAAAAAAAAAAAAAAAAAAAGGACTTAGAGGATAGGCACCTAGAAACATAAGCCAAGCATGCCGGCTGGCAGGACTGTTGTCCTAGCACTTGGAGGCATTGGCAGAAGGTTCAGGGGAGCTCGAGGCTACTCACCACTATGTCTTGGGGGAGTTCAAAGTCAGCCTGAGCTTCTCAAAACATGAAAAGTAAGGCAGGAGCCGGGCAGTGGAAGCACACTCCTTTAATGCCAGCTCTCGGGAGGCAGAGGCAGGCGGATCTCTGTGAGTTCGAGGCCAGCCTGGGCTACCAAGTGAGTTCCAGGAAAGGCACAAAGCTACACAGAAAAACCCT